ACTGAGGGTTGCGATCCGTTGCCGGTCACGAAAAAAGACAAAAAGGAAAAAAAAAATCTTTTTCCCTGTTTTCTTCTACTAGTTTCATGGTTTCAGGTCTTACATTTAAGTCTCTAAACAGTTTGAGTTGATTTTGTATTTGCAGAGGAAGCTCTTGAAAAAGCCAGCATTTAGGTTCAAGAGATCCTTGGTGTGAGGAAATGACCCCTGACAGAAGCATCACTAACTGCACCCAGCATGCCGTCTCCACGGTGATCAGGTCTGTGTCAGGAGGAAGGGCTCTGTGTTGAGGACACCAAATGGGAGAAGGAAGGAGGACTGAGTAGCTGGGCAGGGTCAGGTAATGCCAGCAGCACACTCGAGAGAAAACCATACCTTCTGCAGTGGTTGAATCATCCTTGTTAATGTAGATGGGCCACACATTTAGGAACATAGGTACTCTAAGTAGTGGTGCTGAGAAGTTGTGTTTTCAGTTCTGGATAGTACATAAATATTTTTCCAGTTCTGTGTTCAAATACACACACACACACTTTACAATGAATAAAAGGTAAAGCACCCCTACTATTTAGAAACTAACATAATCCATTTGGTTACATTCAAATGTTTATTAATTTAGTAACATCCATAATACAGTATGTTGAGCTTTCACAAATAAAAATAAAACATTTAGAATTTGGTCTGAGAATGCAGGACATGTCTATAGGAAACAAAATGTAAACACAAAACCCAGCAAGTTTGATGGTGAAAATAACACTTAGAATTCAACTTGTATTCTCCTTAATGTAACTAGAAAAATCACATTTATGAAATGTTCTATATTTTTCTGCTATGACTTCATATAATATTTGTATCAAGCAGAAAGTTCCTAGGTCTAACTGCCTTGTAATTTTCTGTCCATGTTTCTCTGCAGTGGGGGTTTATTCATTCTCCCCAGGGTGGACTGGAGACCTGGCAGTGGCCGGGCTCATCACAGGACAGACACTCAGGACACCCTGATCCAGAAGGAAATTTGAAGGAGCAAAAAATGGGCGCAGTGGCTCCTCAGCAGAAACTCCAGTAAATGTAAAAATGTGGGATCCATCTTCAACACAGAAGAAGGAAATGCTTCCTATGCCCATATCCAGGAAAATACCAACTCGCTGTAATTTAAGGTCCACACAGAGGGCAGTCAAAGGCCTTGTGCTGGCAAAGAAGTAGCATCCACCTCTCAAACTCACAGTCCAGAATCCCAGCTCTGTATTCAGTTGGATCACTCCTTCTCGGGGAGTAGATTCTCTACAAACTCCCAGGTCCCATGCTGTGTTTGTTCCCACATCCACCTCCCAGTAATGGCGGCCACAGGTGAAATGAGGGGAGCCCAGGACACAAATTGCATAGTTGAACCTCTGAGCAAGCAGTGGC